GAGGCAACGGTGGGAACGCATATAGCAGTCCTGATGGCCATAGGCAATGAAGAGCGTTGATCTCTTCAGCTTGCGGGGTGTGGAACCTGGCAAAGAATCTGGGAAGGTGCGTGGCGAATAGATCGACTAGCGGTTGGCCGAACCTCAGAGAAAGTTGGTGGAACAGGACCAGATGTAGACGCCATTCCAAGTGGTCGACCGTGGACCTGCTCAGGCAATCCGCCTAGATGTTGTTGACTCCGGAGATGTGCTCTGCCTGTATTGAGAGCAGGTGTTTCTCTGCCCACCTTCCCAGCGAGTCAGCTTCTGCCATCATTGATCTGGATCGCGTACCTCCCTGGTGGTTTATGTGAGCCTTTGTCACCAAATTGACTGTAAGCACCATCACATGATGGCCCTGGATGCCATCGTGGAAGTGGAGGAGAGTGAGTCTCACCAGTCTCAACTCCAGCCAATTGATGCTGTGCGTTGTCTTGGGAGTTGACTACCTGCCCTGTGCAATCTGATTGTGGAGGTGGGCTTCCCAGCCGAAGAGGCTGGCATCCACTGTGATGGAGAGATGGTCTGGCTCTTTGAAGTGAGTGCCCTTGGCCAGGGCGGGAGACAGCCACTACTTGAGGGAATGACATACCTTCGGTGAGACATGCACCACCACCTGGGAGTTGCTCTGGTTGGTTCTCTGATAGGGCAGAAGGAGCCACTATAGGGGTCAAGAATGAAGCCTCGCCCAGGACACGATGGATAGGCAGGAGATCATCTTCCTTAAGAGTTTGGATAACTGCACAATCTTGGCATGAGGGAACTGCTGCACCTGCAGAACCCGTTCCTTGACACTAGCCACCTTTCTGGTGACAGGAAAACCTGACAGCCCACGGTGTTGATGGCGCCTAGGTGCTGCAGCCTGGTTGTCGGCTCTAGATGGCTTTTTCCCAGTTGATTGAGAAGCCGTGGTCCTGCAGGATTCTCAGTGTGTAACCCAGGTCTTGAGTCACTTGTTGGCATGATGACTGGATGAGCACCAGGTAACAAAGGAGTCGCACTGGATGGGATCTGAGGAAGGCTGACACCGCTGCGAGGACTTTCGTAAACGTTCTGGAGGCCGATGACAGGCCAAAAGGCAAGGCCCTGTACTGGAAGTGGCAGCCTGCATAAAAGAACTTCAGGTACTTGCGGTGGGCCTTGCAAATAAGGACGTGGAGGTAGGTCTCTTTGAGATCTATGGTAAATCCCCTGGCCTGATGCAACCCAGGATTGACTGAAGGGACTGCATTTTGAGCCTCCTGTAAGCTATGTGGTGGTTTAGCTTTTTTAAGTCTAGGATTCTCCTCCACCTCCCAGAATTCTTTGGAACTAGGAATAGGATGGAATAGAAGCCTGCCCCCTCCTGACCTGGAACTGGTTCTATGGCCCTGATGTCCCTGATATGAAGGATCTCCTGTTCCATGAGAGCCCTTTTGACTGGACGTGAAGGGGTGGGGCACCAAATGAAGTGATGAGGAGGGGGGAGAGGAACTCTAGGGTCAGACCTATGCGGATTGTTTGGAGGACCCACTGGTCCAACGTGATTTGCTCCCATTGGGCGTGGAACAGTTGGAGATGCCCTCCTATGGGAGCAGACCGTTGGTGGTCACTTATATCGCCTGAAGGGCCTGGAGCCAACCCCCCCCCCTCAGAAAGGATGTTTGGAAAAGTTCTGCTGGCGACCCCTGTCATGAAAGAGCAGACGGTCCTGGGACCTATCTGTGTTCTGTGGGTAGGGACGATGGAAGGACCCGGAACTGGTGGAAGGTTCTGTGTTCTGAAAGGGCTGCCTCCTGTATGAATTAGAACATTTACGGTCAGATTTCTTAGCGACCGAGGGCATGATCTTCTTTTTGTCCTTATTCTCAACAAGGACCGGATCTAGGACCTCCCAAAAAAGCTTGTCCCCTTTAAAGGGAGCAGAAGCAAGCTTCCACTTGGACTGCATTCCAAGTTCCATTGTCTGAGCCACAAGAGTCTCCGGGTGGTGACATTGGAGGCCAATGATCTGGACACAAACTTAGCAGCATTCAGGGTGCCGTCCGCAGTGTATTCTGTTGCTGCAATGATTTTATCAACATCCTGTCTCAATTTGGTATCGCTGGCCGGAATCTTAGTAATTGTCTCAGCCAGAGTAGGGAGGCCCTAGAAAGGAAGGACGCAGAGGTGGACGTTTTAATTGCCCAAGATGCCGCCTGATGGGTCTTATGACAGGCGTTCTCTACTCTCTTGTCCTCTGCCTTGAGTCCCTCCAGATCAGATAGGAGCACTGAGGAGGAAGTGAGCGCTGATACTGGAGGCAATTTTAGTAAGTCCTCCAGACTTGCATCTACCGTGTACAACTTCTTATCATTGGTACTAGGGGTGGCAAGGGCACCCGGCTGCGCCCATTGTTTTTGCACCACATTAAGGAATAATTTTGGGACAGGTAAAATTTCCTGTGCTGGCACCAGCTCCTCGAAGAGCCCTTCGGAAAGATCTGCAGGATCAGGAGATGCCTGAGCTCGTGGAGTGGAATCCAAGTGGGTCGAGGCCTTAGCCTTGTTCAAAATAGTCTTGAAATGGACCTGCTTAAACAACCCCGTAAAGGCAGGTTTCTCAGAAGCAGCCCCCCCCCATCACCCAAGAATTCAGGCTCCGGTCTGGGAAGAATGTCCTCCTCCCAGTTCGAATCTCCACTGGCCAGAGAAGAGTGGGAAGACTGAGATCGATGGGCCAAGGGCACCTCCTAAGGAGGATCCTGTGTCAGAAGAGTATGGGACTTCCGTGGGCAATTGGCCCACTGCAGCATGCCTGCCTCTATGCTCTGAGAAATGGCCCTAGTTATGACATCTTGCATCTCTGCTGAGAGGTCGGGATCTCGATCCTCCACAGGGCAAATACTGGAGGGGGGCTGGATGACCGGCTGCCTCAAGATCCAAGGGACATGTAAAGAGATTGGTTTGGTCTGCCATTGAGGGTTCAGGAGAACCCACCATGGCAAAGGAAGCAGTGGGGGAAAACTCCTCCTCACTCTCAGAAATGGCTAGCCCATGCCTGGGCTGGGCCTCTGGAGAGGGTGCCCTAGGGGAGACCGGTTAGAGCCTGGGCCTGTTGTTGGGCCTTGGAAAACTGCTTCTCCAAAGCCTTCTGCCAGTGGAGAGCGTCCTTATCTGGCCCTGAGTCCTGCTTGGACCCATCTAGAGTAGGGCTTGTTCCCCCTGATGGCCTCCCAGGCTGCCTTGCCAGCTTGTCTGGAATATACCTACTTATATAACATTTCTAGTTCCTGCCTTTGTCCATGCCGTCTGTGGCTAAGGCGAGTTAATGAGTGCTAGATTGCCAGAAAGAAGGAATATATGAAACAGATCACTAAAGGATTTTGGAAGCAGGTTAACTGAGAGCTTTCATTGCCAACGGAAACCAGATGAAGGATACAGAAAGTCGACAGAGGGTATAATGAATGCATCATTTGGTGCAGTAAAAAATCAGACCTTTCCAGCTCCTAAATTGTAAGCTCCATTGAGACTGGAATTCTCTGGATAGCCTTAGACAAGTAATGCTGCATAGGATAAAATACTAACCTACTTATATAAGTTTATAAAAATTATTATATCTAAAGTGCTTTGAAGACTAGTCCTATAATAAAATGTAATTAAAAATATGTACTCTAAGTGCTGATCTTTGACAATGCCAATTTAACCTTGATTTTTTTCTATAAATTATTTAAATATCATGGCAGTGGAAGAATATTTCAAAGAACTTGTACTGATTATTTGTAAAATAGATATTTTTCAATTTCTTCAGTTATATTTATAACTAAATGTGGGTCTTAATAGCCAAACTTAAACAGATGAAGCATAAACATTTATGTACTATTACATTACTTTACATACAATATCAAATTCATTACAACATCACTCCTTTAACCTTGAATTTTGCGTTATTTCATCGTTTTATGTAAAATTCCAATCAGGAGATATAAGAAAATATGAATCAAAGCCAACTTGCTTATTATTATTACTATTGTTTTTATCTTGATTTTTTTACTGTTGCGTTACCCAGCGTTGCATTGTGAGGAGCCATGTAATTTTTTTTTTTTAATGGCCCTTGCTGAAACAATGTATAACAATGGCTGAGGGAATCAACATTGATAATTTACAAAACTTCACTATAGAGATCTTCAGCTTCTGCAACAATTACACAGTACTTTCAATTAATTTTCAAAAGAGATAGGACTCTAGCACGAAAAGCAGAATGAAAATAACAATGATTTTATTTTTTTTTAAGGTAGACAAAAGACCAACTTCAATGGACTCTGGCTGGTTAACAGCTTATTTCCATTCCTCAAGAATTGCCTTTGCTTCCAGTCCATACCAACTGAAGATTTCTGCTCTCAATTCAAATTGGGCTGGTAATTCCTTCCTTGTTTACATTAACAGCAATTGTAATACAAAGAAGAATAAATGCAAGCATAACCACATTTGACAGTCAACATGATACTTACCTCCTACTCCCAAAATAAGTCAAACAAATCCCAGTTACACTGGGGAGTCATGGGGATAAAGGATTTCTCTTTAAGAGATAAGTAATCTGTGAGCTTCTGGCTGCTACTGAACACACTCCCTATACACTGAAACCAGATGAGAGTGTTGGGAATCAAAGCTTAACAATCTGGAGCACTGGTCTCCAAGTGAGTAAGACAATTTACTGGGTGGAGGAAGAAAAAAATTAGAACATTGCCATTTATCCATTACATCATTTTTTAAAAATTGGAATGTTGATTATCTACATATTAATGCTTGTATATAACTTATAAACAGACATAGGGACTGCAAGATCTAAGAAACCACTGACCTACAAGTCCAACAGCTGTCCTTCACTACATTAAACCGAGCATACACACACTTTCTTGGAAAAGCATTGCAATGTAACCCAACAAATTAGTGCCTCCTTCTTTTTCCACATCCGACTTCCAAACTTGGAGGCTTTTTTGATAACCACAAATTATCAACTAATAAAAGGTAAATTGTTTCTTACAATCACCACACACCCCACACTTCCAACCACACATTAAGGCGAAGTCCTAGAAGATATGCGTCAAGCACGAGGAGCAATTTGCAGGTAGTTATAGAAGATAAAATACAAACTTATGGTAAACTGCTCCAAACTTGTTTGCAGAAAATACGACTTCAGTAACAGAATTGTCAATGCCTGGAATGCACTACCTGACTCTGTGGTTTCTTTCCCAAACTCCCAAAATTTTAACCTTAGATTGTCTACTGTCGACCTTACCCTATTCCTAACAGGTCTTTAAGGGGCGTGCGTGCCTACCATCCCTGTCCTAATATTCCCTTGTATTTGTATCCATTTCATGGATACATCCATTCACAATCCCGTTTATACATATGTTATCTAATTCATTCTTGACGAAATAAGTAAGTAAATAAATAAAATAGCAAAGAAGGTTGCGAGGACTGTTGATTTGCGGTTGCGGGAACGGACTTTAAAACCCAGAGTTGAACCTGATCTGCGTGCAACATCGCCCCACGGCTGATCCAACCCTGGCCGAATCGTGCCCACCAACCGCAGCGCAGGTCCTGCCAAGCTAAGGAAAACTCGATCCCGTCACTCACTTCTCTGGCTGACCGGATCTGCTTACGCACCGCCTCTTTGCAAGCATAGATGATCTCCCCAAAACAGGGCTGAAAATAAGTCTCCACGCGGGTCAGTCCTCGGAAAGAGCCGGTAACAAAGGCCGGCCAGCCCAGTTCTAGGACAGGCGGTTCAACATCGGACTGCAATGGGAAGTAGGTAAGCGAGGAGCAATCCAAGGAGGCGTTCAGGACTTGGTCTGTAGCCGAGACACTTTCGTTTGTCCCGAGGGGCTGCACGGCGGCGCGCAAAATAGCGTGGATCTCGGGGTCGGAAAGGAAAGAGCTCATTTTTTCCCGGCGTAAGAAAGCTTGGAAAGCCGGCCGGCCTTTGGCGATAAGCTCCTCCAGCGCCAGGCGCTGCGCCTCGTTATAGGCCGGAGGGGGAATGGGCTCCCAGCCACGTAAACTCCGGAAAGGGGCATCGTCCAGGCACTGGGACTGATTCGCCATCGGCCTAGCTAACCTCACCTTCCGGAGGACGCGAACCTTGGGGAATAAGTCGGGCGCGTGGGAGGAGTTGGCACTTTATAGAGAATTTGAATCCAAACTGGCGTCCGCGCTTCCGTTATAGGCTGGAACGGCTCCCGCCTCGCCTCTCGGGGGGAGGGGAAGCCTCACTGATTGGCTGCATATCGGAGCGGCTGGTCCAATCCCGAGAGGAAGAAAGGAGTTTCTTGGAGATTTAAAAAACAACCATCCTTCCAAGCTCTCGACTTCAGCAGATACCCGTCGCTCAGGCCCGGGGCTTGGGCGCGGTGGGGCAATCTTTATGCTCTTCCACCAGGTAGGTAATGCTGCAAGCCGACTGTCAAAGAAGCCGACTGTCAAAGAAGCCGATGGATCTGAGTGGTGTCCCAGTTGTTGTTGAACGCCTTGCCTCTGGGTTTTCAGAATTAAATCAGAGTGGTTGTGCACGTTTGTAGACGCGGCATTTGCAGATTTTTAGGTCGGTCCTGAACAGATCGACTTTCACGGAATAAATGTCAAAGATGACACGATTTAAGACACAAAATAAAAATGAAAGGATCCTTGGGGGTCTTGAGATCTTCGCCCCCAAAAGGCTGTTCTTTTCATAAAAATGCTAACTTGTTTTTATTTAACAGCATCCATACTAAGGACTGGAATTTAACCCATTTTTTTTCTTTAAAAAGGATTGAGGGACAGTAAAGGAGGTTTGAGGTTTATTGGATTTATATGCAATATATAAAGGAAACCATAAAGCAGCTGAACATTTGTTTGGGGAAGAGATTGGAAAAATTAGTGAATTCGTCACAGTTTCCTACAGAGGTTTGTGCAATAAGCACATTAGTGAACCATTAAGTTTACTTAGACATCAAAAAAATCAAAGATACAGGACCTAACTCACTGGAAATAATTAAAAACCAGGAAAGAACAATGAATGGACTGTGTGAAAGTACCATTTCTCCAAGGATCACTAGTGCTTTTTAAATTTTATTTACAAATTTATTTAAAATTATCTGGAATGAAGGCTGAAAAGAGAAGTCATGTTTGTGGATAATACCAAACTGTCAGAACAGTAAACTCAAGAAAGCTTGAGAAATGTTCCAAAGTGGATGAATGTATTTCAAAATGGCAAATAATTATAAACATGTGTAATATGCATATAAGTATCAAACATCTGATTTGGTAGCAATAATGGATCAGAAATGAGATACATAGTTCTATGAAAATATCATCTTAGAGTGCATTACACTTAATAAGATGATATAAAGCTTGAAAATGTATAAAAAGACAGTCAAAATTACCACTGTATAGGAACAATTCACATACAATGATAGATTACAGTAGCATGAGCTTTTTAGCTTGAAATGAGGATAAAGTATGAAATGATAGAGGTCATGCAGGATATTCATTTTTCTCCTACATTATGAAATTTTCTGCCAGGAGTTGTGGCTATTGTAGCCAGTTTGGATTATTCTAAAAGGGAACCAAAAAACCGTATTTTTTAGAGTATAAGATGCACCGGAGTATAAGATGCACCAAAGTTTTGAAGAGACAATTTTTTTAAAAAGCAGGTAGGTAGGTAGAGGGATAGAGAGGGAGAGAAAGNGTTGCTGAGTGCCCAAAATGTGGTTACATGACCAATGAGGAGAGGGGGAGGCAGGGAGGGGGAACATCAGAACTTTGAAAGCAGGTCATAAGTAGCTTTGCGGGGGAGAGGGTTCCATCGAAACCCAACTAGACAAAATAAATAATCTGGCATGGTACGAAGAACTTCCTGTATTTCTAGAGAGAGATACACTAAATTATGCGACAGAAGGCAAATGGTATTAGGTGAAAAAACTGTTGGAAAGACATTGAGAAATAAAATCCTAAACAAAATGCTATTAATATTGCTACTGTCAAATATAGTTCATTAAATAAATGGCTTTTGAATAAATACACATCATTTGTCATCTGCCTATCTTGGCATTTGGTTATCAACCTTGCTTACATCAGAGCCAAGAAAGAAGATAGGTACTCATTTAATCAATTTGCTTATCCTACTTCTGTGTCACTGAGGCTCTGTAATGTGAATTTCCTTCTTCCTACCGATTATAACACAATGGGTCACAACACAACAGGCATGCAGGACAGGAAACAAAACATTCCACCAAGTAATGGATTCACATGTTTAGAGTGCCATTAGTCATGAAACATACCCATCACAAGAACAGCATTGTTTATTATTGGTTTCAAAGACTGTAGGTACCCCTGCTTCAACATTTTTAGCTAGGACTACCACCCAATATTTTAGAATCAACTCATACACCCCTCCCATGCCAAATATAGCATTATGGTATGATGGAGGCCATCCTGCTTCTTATTTTAGAAGCCTCAACCAGAATCATGTAATCCATTTCAATATGAGTATACAATAACTTTGGCCTTCTTTGCACTGCTCAACAGCTGTGATTTTTCAGTTTACTTATTAATATGAGAAGGTCAGCTATGAAAATCTTAAATGTAGCTTTTTATTTATACTAGAGATACAGTAATTATCCATAATTGACCAGGGGAACATGGGAAAGGGAAGAAGACCCCTCCCCAGGACCGAAGACAACGACACCACCTGGCGGCGCAATGTATTCTGCGAAAGACTGCATTCAAGACCCTTCTGGAGGAAA